AAAGAGTGTGCACTCAGGACTTGATGTAAAAGATCCTGATTTTAGTTTAATTAGACTGAAATGGAAAAGGTAGCTAAACATACTTTCCCCTACTGAATTCTGGATGAGTGGGGAGAATAGTTTTTGCACAGCAGCGTTCCCAGGTGACTTCAAAATGCAGATGAAAACCTCTAGACTAGAATAGACTACCATCTATTTACCACAAGGTTTATTTTCTCTCTCACCACCTTAAAACACTGTGGGCAATATGCCTGCTGCACACAGGTTGAATAGCAATTGGACTGTGCCTCTACAGTCGAAAAGGTAATTTTAGTTTTCCAGTTTGTTACATAATCAGTATTGTCATAAAACACTGATGTCAGCCACTCAGAATCAAAAGCAAGATCCTTTTTAACAGTTTTTTTTTTTTTTTGCTTCAGACATGAGAGATTGTAAAAAAAAAAAAAAAGAGGCAGAAATATGAGTGTAAAACTGTTCTTGCTGTTGCTGTTGTTGAGTGGAAAATTTTTGCCAGCCATCATCCTTGCTATAGTCCTCTTCATCTTGCAGCCAAATGCTACAAGTCCAAGCATGTTATGTGGCAGCTGTGGAAGGTTCTTCTGTGGTGAGCAAAGCTAAATTACAACACTAAATGCTGGATTACCCAAAACAGTGAAATCTGATGTTTCATAACAGTGCAAGAGCATTTGAGCATAATGATACCTGCTAAACCTTGACAGTGCAGTAAGACAGCATGTCATCATGTTAAGTGGGATGTCAGTAATGTATCACGAGCTTTCAGATGTGGAACTTCACTTTATCCACAGTAGGATGAGTTGCTTTGTGTAGTGGAATAATGCTGATATGCATGTGAGGAAAACAGTGGATGTCCACAAAAGGAAGCTCGAGACAAAGAACACCTTTTTCTCTCAGCTGCATATGTTAATGTAATACAGTCTGTCATGCAAAGCAGACAAACATTGCACCTTTAATACTCCAGATTATCCAGTCAGCATGAAATATGCCCTTGTGTATATGGCAGTCACACACTGATCAAAGTATTTAGATGATGTGTTATGTGACAAAATGCATTCTCCTAGAGGCAAACCTTCACCTTTTTGCATGAGATGAATTAATAGATGCATTTCCCTATATATAGTAGATTTCTCCATTTTAAGTCACTTCAATGGAATTCATGCAAAGAGGTTTGCACTTTAAGACAAATCTGTAAGTATGGAGTTTTTTTTGTAGCTCCAGATTCAAATTTGACATGAAATAAAAGTTCTTCAGCAATAATTTGAGGCACCTTCTCAGCACTGTGTCATTTTTAAAGCTGCACTCACTGTATGAGTACACAACGTGCTGCTTTTTGATCATAAACAAAATGACACTGCATTAAACAGAGTTATAAAACACATTTTCTCTGGCATTTATTGGGTCTTGGTTGAACAAAAAACAATACGTTACAGCACAGTATAACACCTTGTAGCCACAGCTTTTAGCTAAATTGAATCACACTTCCATGAAAGCATGTGTGCCAGGTGCTGACTTTGGTTTAATTGTTTAATAGCCAGAGTCAAAAACTGGTATGAGATACCGCATACTTTGTTTGTTGGTTCCAAAGCAGATCACTACTGAGCTGCTCTTTTTAAAAAGGGAATACAAAGACAATTAATACCAACATATTTCTGGAGTTGAACTGAAAATAGCCATAAATGACCACCCAAATGACACTACTTTTATAGAGACAGTGTTCTGTGGTAATAAACACACATGTGGCCCTCTAGATAACTGTAGGTAGCTGCTATATTCAGAGCTTAACAAGATATTTAGGCTCTACAAACAGTACATGAACCAGGATAAACAGGATGGTCATGAATACATAATGCAATAATGAAATTTTCTCAGCCCAGTTACAACAGACGCTCTCAACAGGCCACAGATGTGTTTCTAATGACCATCAAAGTCTATCCAACGGAGACGCGAGAGCCCCACAGTAGCTACTCATGCCTGGTTAGCTCCGACTAGCAGGTCCACAGTGTCGCCACGCTCCAACAAAGCCTTATACATTCGTTTTCACTCTGCTTTTGTTCCATTTTTCAATTATACTGAGGACTGCCTTATTATAATTTGTAAGTGCACTTACTCTTTAAGTGTGTATGAACATTAAAAAAAAAAAACTTGTTTTTTGAGTGTATTCTGCAGTTGGACAATGCAATGAACAAAGGAACCAGTGGAGCTACTCACATCTGTCAAAAATAAAATGAATGTGATGTGAAGATGGGGGTGAGAGCTCCAGGAAAAAAAAAGTACTGAATCTAAAAGTACTGAATCTTTGTGCTTTTTATTTCAAGTTTAATTGGCAAAGCTCTTCTGTAATTGTATATTATATAACTGGTGTAACAGCAAACTCATGCAGAAAAAGTTCAAACATAATTTTAATTTAAATCCCAGTGGAGCAAGTTTTCAAAGATGCTAAATATATCACTCTGAATTGAGGGGACAAAAATATAAAATTTTGCACAAGACACCAAAAATATTTTTAAATGGTGCAGCCATGAAAACATAAAGTCTTGGATTTACAGTATATAAATACAGAGTTTCAAGTTAGAGCTGCAAAAAGATGATACAGAATGTGATGATAAAGCCAAATGGTGTGGAATAAGATGATCTTTACAACCGTAAAACTGCGGTAGTTATGGAAAAACTGTACTGCAAAAACAGTATGATTAGTGTGTAGTTCATACCATCAGCAGGCAGTATGGAACATCAGTGTGATCACTGCAAACAAATAGTCATGAATGAGAAAATGAGCATGTTTTATGCTTCACTGCTGCAAAACTGATGTTATAGTGGTCTTGCTTGTCATATTAAGTCCAATACATCTATAAATGAATTGAAATGAACAATTAGCACTTGAGTTAAATTAACAACAATCTTTTCACCATGAATGTTTTAGTAGGCTCTTTAATGGCAGCGTTTTCCTGTCTGGATGTTTTGAACCATGCTTTTACATCTTGATAATATTACATCTTTTATTTGTACAAATACATAGGTACATTAGATTCTTAACTAAGGTGATGCTAGACTTTTCCAAGGATTTGATTTAACAGCTACAGATGTTTGAAAAGGTCAGGGACTAATGTGTTTTTGCCACTGCATTAGTTTTATCCTTCCTGTGCAGCAGGGCTGTTCTCATCAGATCAGTGACGTTTTATAGCTCACAAACAGTACACACTAAAACTACTAGATGGCATACTCTTATTTAAATGATTCCATCTATCATTAAGTCAGACCTTCTCATGTTTCTTACACGTGAATGACACAGCTGTGGCCGGCTTAACAAGAATCTTCTTAAAGAGGTCACACACCAACATGAGGAATATTTTGGCTTTCTGTTTGGGGAAGCATCTTTTCTTAACTCTCTAGCCCTGATGCTTTACTGAGACCCCAGTGACCCACAGGCATTGTATTCCAGACCCTGCCTTTTACTCTGGCTTCCCTTTTACAGCTCTGCTTGAAGAGGTCAGAGTCAAACACAGTGTTCCTCTGTGACAGGTGCACTTTTTTGTCCTTGGCTCAGGACTTATGCCCAGTCACAGGCAATAAAACCATATAGACAATAACGGAAGCAAAGGAGAGGAGCACAAAGCAAACAGTACAAACAATATGGGTTTGCTGAGGAAACTGGGCAATTGTTAAGGAAACATGGACATTGGGGAATACATTCTGGAAACAATTGGTTGATTAATTAATGAGGTAAAGGACTGAAAACATTTTCAAGCAACACCAAACAACCCCTAGTTCTCACCTCTGTGTTACTGGTATTGCTCTTTGTCTAATTAAACTGATAATTTGGGGTTTGGGTTGTTAAATGGACAAAACAAGACTTTCGAAGCCTTCTACGTGCACTTGGATTTTTCTCATTGCTCCCATCTGGCACCAAAATATCAAAGCAAACATGAAAAGGTGTCCCTTCCTAGACAAACCCACTCATCCATCCAGTATCATTTTTGCTGATTGAGGTTCTCTCTGGACAGCAGCCAAAGCCTTCAGAACAGACGACCATATGATTCATACCCAGCACTTGAAAAAAGAGCTGACCGATAATTCTTCTCAAAACACAAATCACCTCTTCCACCTTCGCACCTTTAATAGAGAACTGTGTTTCTGAATTATTCATTTACTGCATTTCTCTACAGAGTGTGCTTTAATATCCCTGGACAAATCTCTTTGCCCATGCCTTTAAGTCAAAGTCACCTCATAAAATGTATTTAGATGTTACAATCATAGCATTTTAATCACGGTAGCCTTAGATAGCGTGTGCTTATTCAAAGACTTTACTGATAAATGGTGTGTGTGTGTGGCTGGTGTGTTCTCAATGCTCTGGTGTCAGAATTCTAATTTAGTGTCTTGCAGGTGTCATTGACTTTCTGTTTTGCAAACTAATTCATAACTGTGTGGTAAACCCACTTGTCTTGCAGGGTGACAGATAAAACTTAAAATAATAGTTTAACATTTTGGGGACATGGTTTTTCACTTTTTTGTCAAGAGTTAGATAAGTAGATTGATACAACTAGGTTAACGAAACTGACTTAACATGAATGCACGCCTAAAAGGCGCGTGGTGGTCATGGTAAACTAAATCATAAATGAGAAAAAGGACCGCACACTGAAAGCTTACATGGTATATTTAAAAAGGTATAGCCAACATTTTGACCCTGTCCTGAAAAAGAGCAGTGGGTGTAAATGTTGGCTTTACTTTAGATTGATACAACTCTCATATCTGTCCAGTAAACAGCAGCTACACCCTTATTAACTGGTTAACCTCATTTAACAACTAGCCTGAAGCTCACTAATTAGCATGCTTTTTCTCATGTGTTTCTCATTTCTTTAACCCATACCAAAGTGTCAGAATTACATTTGTGTTCTTTCTAACTATGCTGGTTCAACTGCCACATATAACAGACACGGAAGTGCAGAAACTTTGCACAAGAACTAAAACATATGTATTTCCCAAAATACCTTTTTATTATTAAGATGGTTAATTCAGCCAGGTGTGCTACTGTATAGCTAGTTAACAAACCAAAATCAACTAACATGTCAGGATCATTGAATGAGTTTATAAATGAATAGTGTAGTGGACATAAACTATTAATTGACCAGGTTGTACAGAGCACAATGTGAACAATGTGCACTCAGGCAGTCTACTGATGAACACTGCATATTTAGTGCCATCAAATCCATGTCAAACAATTAACACTTGTTATTAAAATCATGTTACATTCTAACATTATTATACATTGTGTGTCATATTGCTTTATTATAGCTCTTTACTGAGGCTATGATGTTTACACTGAGTGAAATGATCAAACTTTGGGTTCACAACATGAGTTTGCACTGCCTCAGCACATTTATAGTGTAAAATGTCACATTGTTGTCATTTTAAATTGGAAAGTATCTCATATATCTGTGTGTGTTTGTGTGGTGAACCATTCAACCCATTACACCTGCCATGGTTGGATGCGCACTCCCTACGCTGCTGTTAACAGATGTTGATAGGCTTGTCAGATTGCACCTGCACTGGTTGACACTGCCAATAAGGTCTGTTACAAACAGAGCCAGTCTGCTGCAAGTGACGCATTTCACAGTTTATGTTACAGACTCTCAAACGAGCATGAACCTGTTACTGTAATGGCTTATTTAAATACAGGTGGGCTCTACTGAACCCTCCTCAACAACTCTCCTGCCTTTGCTGTGGAGCACCCCACACTGTAATAATAATATGGAATACAACAGATTTCTGTTTAAAGACAGTGCAAAAGGCTACACTACATGCTAAATTTAAACATTTCTTTCTAAAGCACTTTCTAAAAGACTGACTAATAATAAGAACTGTACTGAAGCAAAGAGCATCAGACTGTACAGTATCTTACAGCAGTAAGGCACCCGCTACTCCTAGACCCAAGGGTGACAGTATATATGTGACAACTGCTAAGAAATAACACAGAGGGAGTGAGAGTTGAGGCACGATGTAGAAAAGATATGACAGGAGAGGAGAGGTGTGATTCACTGGAGAAAGGGTAACATTAGGAGGTTCTTGGAAATACTGACTTTTCAGCTTATAGAGGACAACTGGGAGTGAATTTGAATCTGAGATCTGACTTGAGTGGAAATGCCACTGTACTGGGAACAGACAGGAAGTGGGCTAGTTGTGACTGAGCAGGCAATCATTGCAAAGTGGGTCATGGCCTGCACTTCATTTATTGCACTTACTATAGTATAACAAGAGTTTGTGTGGGTATCTTTCCTCCCTTGGTGTTCACGTCCTACTGGACCTTTGGTCTTCCATTACCTTTGCTTTTTGTCCAGTGTGTTTGTTGCAAGATTTTTCACACTTGACAAAGTAACTTGCTAATTAGTACAATTTTGCTGCTTTCACGCTGAAACTGAAAATTTAATCAAGGCAGTAAAGTATGTAATGATTTTTTTCTTCTATTTTGTTTTCATGTCGATTTTAGATTAGAGCTCTCAGTTTCAGACAAAATTAAACAAGAAGAAACAAAGAAAAAGAAGAACTAGCAGAAGAATCAAATGTAAAACTGATCAAGATAAACCAAGTGAAGATGATACCCCATAATGTGGACTGTAGAAGACAGTCTGGCACTTTTGTCTGCCTCTTTCTTTCTTGGAAAAACAAACCCACCATTAAAAAAGTTTAATCTTTATGTTGAATAACTCAGCAGTAAAAGTCATACATTTGTTATTTCAGATCCCAAAAAATGGAGGAACAAAATATTGATTATTCTTCACTGAAAAGAAACTTTACACATTTGCTATCTAGTTATTTAGTAACACACTCAATAATTAAGTGCTGTAATGGATCCTTTTCTTGGTTTCTTACACTTGTTCCTTCTCTCCATTTCCTAGATGACAAGAGCCCATGTCATTTGGCAGAGGCTCCCGGTCCCTGCAGAGGGTTGGTGACACGTTACTTCTTTGACAGCGAGAGTCAGCAGTGCAAAGCCTTCTTTTACGGCGGCTGCTTCGGCAATGCCAACAACTTCAGGAGCATGGCAGCATGCCAGGCAAAATGTCAGAACCAAGGTAGGCCAAGTTGAACTTTGACCCTTTTACTGTAAACACTGGCAAACACAGAAGCTCTCCAGGCAGCAGCACTGCTAGCAGTCAAAGTCACAGTTGAGAGGGTTACCTTGCTCAGCTAAAATAACAAACATGCAGTCTAGAGCAGTATGAGAGAGCATATCTACACCTCAGACCTACAGGCCATCAGTAAATGCCTGACCCAACATTTGAAAATGTAGTTTGTCCTATTTTTACCTTGTCATTGTTCTTATTTCACCAAATGGAAATAATTAGTTTCCTGCCTTTACTTCAAAGTAATATGCACAATGTCATTTATATACTTTGGGGGTTCAAAGACAGTCGATCACAGTTGGTCCACAGCAAATGGAATCTCCTTTCAGAACGGTGACATGGTTGATGAATTTTAACAGACCTCAAAGTCACATTCCATCATTTGACTTGTTTTAAAATGACCAAATATGGGAAACAACTTTGCCATTTAGAAGATTCAAAGTAGATAACAAGCAAGTCACTCACCTGTGACCAATTCTGCTGAAAATCAGTTATAAACTCTACATTTTTTATGGAACAATTTTAGGTAGATGACTGTGTCTGGTTTCATTAGTAGAAAATATCTATTTGCTGACCAACCCACTTTCTAGTCTGATGATAATGAAATGATGCTTGTTGTAATTGTGATTAATCCCTGGGATTTAATGAGATTTGTTCTAAGTGTAGGTGATGCAAAAACCCTGGCTCACAATTGTTTATTTTTGAATTTATGTTCTGTGGCCAGCAATGAAAACACATCTTCTTGAAAGTTTATTTTTCCTTTATTGTTAATATAGCAAAACCCACTAAGGCACCAGAAGTCCATACAGAGTCTGTGAGAGAGTTTGCTCTTGTGCAGCCAACCATATCAGCTGGTAAGACTGCATGTACACATCTCTGTGCTTCAAATATAATGTGTTAAGCTTCTGTTTCTTGTCATTCTTGTTAAAATAATAAATTATTGTTCTAAAAATTGAAATTGGAAGATTAATCCTTATGTTTGTGCATTAAAGAGTAACTACATCCTGCATAATTTGTTTGCACTATACACATTACCACATAGAGTTTTGCTGGCAGATGTTGAGATGTTCATAATGTGTGGAAAAACTGTTTTTTACTCAGACTTGACTAGTTTCTGTCTACTTGGATCTCAGAGTTTAGTTCTGTTGAATCCTGTGGCCCCTCTCTTGGCATTAACAAGCTGAAAAACATTAAATATGTATGAGATTTATTTCACAGCAGTAAACACATCAGACACTGGCCTGCTGATATTTCTGCTGTGGTATTTGGAGGTTAACAAGATATTTAGGGCTGAAAATTATTATCATTAACAACAATAAATAGCAGAGCTAGAGTATACCACCAGTAGAATTCACATTCTAAGTGTGGTATCAGTCTTCTCATCTGACTCTCACAATGAAAACACATACAGTAAGCATGTTTTCCAAAATGCTGACCTGGTCCTTTAAATGACTGATCCCCTGACACATGTTTGCTTCTCAGGAGAACCGCCTGTAAATGAACCTCAAGTGCAACCAAAGGACACTGATCAAGAGACCAAAGGTAGGAAAGTATGACTCTAAAGGTGTGTTCAGACAAAGCAGAGACAGCTTCAAGTACCTGTAAAGTCAGTGGAAAGGCACCTGAGGCTAACTTACACTCACTCTCTGCCCACACACACCATAAGAGAGTAGTTTGTCATTCTCAGTAATATCAGAGATGAGTCTGTTACAGATTATAGCTTCTAGTACTGTAACTCTGATCAGCAAGAAAAATAAAATGAGTAATATTTTTTCTTTTAAGATGAGAGGAAAATCTTTTCTTATCATCACATCAATGCAGACAGCAAAACATAGGCCAGAAACAGTTCATGCAGTGTTAATTCATTACCACAGCCACAGAGTACCCGACATCAGTCAAAGATTAACTGTTGTAATTAAATTAGTCATCATGTCCTCAGAAGAGCAATCACTCTATGATCGATTTTGATTTATAATTAAACATCAAAGTAAGCAAATCTGCTTAATTTATCACGTCAGCATGTGCTGCCAGTAACTTCACTGTAATATAATAAAATCAAATTTCATTGTGCTGTGATGCACACATGGTAGACAACTTGCAAAAATGCTTCTGATGTGAAAGGAACAGTGTGGCCTTCCCACAGCCCATTTGTCATATTCCAACTTAATAATTTTCTGTGCATTAGCAGTGAAGGAGCATATATCACGACTGTCGTGCTTCGAGGCTTTTTTGTGTGGCATCAGGAGAGCACAGGGACAGCCTGCCCTCCTCTCCTCAACTCATTCAAAGAGTTATAATTTTATGAATTCAGTTTCTTGTCAGAAAGTATCAGGAGGGAAAGATTCCAGAGGAATTTGCCTCAGTACTCAGTGGATTTCTCTCACCAGATCGTTGGCTTGTTACAAAGTATGTCTTATAAACAGTGCTGGCATGAGAACAAAACGTCTTAGTAACCAATTCTTTTATTCAGATATAAAATTATACAGATTCAGAGAAGAATATTTGGTACTGATTTGTGTCAGTAATAAATATCAGATGCTGTTTGTTGTTGTTTTCTGGTTGTTGTTCATCACTGAGTACAAATGGGTTATTTGAATTTTCAATTCACAAAAGCTGAAAATGAGCATCATAGAATTGGGTTTAGATGTTAGTCTATCAAGCAGATGTTGTCATGGTGAACGCAAAGACTCAGACTCCGACTTATCTTTAATGGCCAATGTTTGAACATTCTAGGAATCTGAAGATAAAAAAGTAGAAGACATGTATTCACTTAGGAAATATGTGCAATCCAAAGCAGGAAAAGGATGAAGATAAAGGAAGACAGTATTTATAAATAGATATACATGTATATAGATTACGGCGGAAGAGCTTTCAGCCTGATGTAAACAGTGGTTATATTTACAGTGTATTGCACTGGGATGATTGTGGTGTCTTGTCATACAGTCGTGGCTTAAGTGTTCATCAGAGTGATGGCCCAGGAGAAGAAACTGTCCCTGTGCCTGGTTGTCTTAGCGTACAGTGACCTGTAGCGCCATCCAGAAGGGAGGAGTTCAAAATGTTTGTGTCCAGGGTGGGAGGGGTCTGCAGAAATCTTCTCTGGCCTCCTCTTGAAGCGTGAGGTGTACCCTCCATGGAGGACAGGCTTGCACCAGTGGTTCTTTCTACAGTCCTGACTGTTCGCTGGAGTCTGTTCCTGTCCTGTTTAGTTGCTGAACCAAACCAGACAGTGGGTTGTCTGGGTGCTGGATGTGGTTTTATCCAGCCTCACCTGCTGGCTCCTGTATAAGACTGACATCTTGTGGTTATATAATGAAGTACATGTTCAGTTATAGCAGGGAGAGTGTATTATAGACTCTTATGAATAAATTGATGATAAACAGAACAAAGAGAAACAAACTAACCCTAAACTAAAGCAGCTCTGCTGTGTGGGAATTGGCTTTGTGAGACAGAAATACTACTATGATACTACTATTACTACTAATAACCACCCAGCATTAGCATTGATTCTGCTGTCAAGCTGGAATGGATCCATGATGGAAAGAATGCAGAGTGATATATAATTTAATGGATTATTGACAGGATGATTTCATTTTGGGCCCCATCTGAACAGTACTTGATAATGAAAACACTTGTTAGTTGCAGCCCCGATTCATAACTTTGATGTTTTCTGGCTCTTAACCATAATTTACAGAGCTGAAGCCTGAAGCGGTGTGCTTCAGTCCTGTGGACAGGGGGACATGTCACGGTGCAGAGAAGAGGTTTGCATACAACACCATGACCAAGAGATGCCAGATGTTTCAGTACAGTGGCTGCGGGGGAAATGAGAACAACTTCATGTCCCGGAGACACTGTAATAAAAAGTGCAGAAAGGGTATGATTATTTTAAGAAGTCAATTCCAAAATGCATGTTTTGATATTTAAATAAATGGAATTCATTACTTAGTGCTGTCTTATTGTAGAAAGTACATGTGCATTCTAAAAGAGTAGACATTTTGTTAGCCAGGTGTAAATGTTTGTCATTGTGAGATATAACTTGCAATTTGACATTTTTATAAAATCTGTAATAAAAGATGTTTTGTTCCGTTGCAGCTACTGGGATGAAGATGCCACGAATAAAGAAGAAAAACCTAAACATCATTGCTCATCTCTCA